AAGGCGAAGAAGAAGGGGGCGTTCCAGTCAGCGAAAACAGGAACCCCCACCAGCACGAGAACGCCCATTTGTGGCTGCAGTTGGATGATATTGAAACCTTCAACTTCAGACTAAAAACTAAATAATAAAGCTGCACATGCAGGTAAATCTAGACTTTTACTACAAAGAACTGTGAAATTAAAAAAAGTTACCTAACCTCACACAATTGACACAGTTTTCAACCTACAACATTATGGAACATTAAACAGTCTCTCCACAAAGTTATGATCACAACAATTTAAGCAAATTCAACCAATTCATGTGAATTCTGCTTAACATGGCAATTCTTTCCAATCACCTCAATTCATTTACGCTATAAACTGTTTATTCTCACCGGAACAAGTTGCCTTTAATTTTTATTTAATTTTACCTTCTTATGCAAATTCATTGCAAAAAAAAGCCTAAAATATTTGAGAAAATCAGACATATTAAGCTGCAACAATCCCGAAAACTCAGAGGTATTCATATGTTTGAATTCATTAGTGTATAATCACCTGGAAATAAGAATGGTTGTGTTTTCGTTACCTTAGAATGAGGTATGTGTCTGAAAGGGGCCAGTGCTCACTGGCACTGAGTACTGGTGCGACTGAAGTCTAATTGGCACTTTTTTATTTAGGAGTTCAAACCTCAGTGTTTGTTCTGGTCTGTGGGAGGTTGTATTTACAACCACTGCAGCTGCAGTCAAATGTGTGAAACTCTCAAACTCCCAAACCAAGAAATCCTGAGATCACTCTCATTATTAGCAACCCAGCTGTTCTCTGATCAGCTAACACCAAAAGGATCAGAGGGGATGAGTCTGGCTTTCTCTGGACGGAGCGACTTCTGTCAGTTTCACATTTCACCTAGGAGTTTTGATCCTTGTGGTGGAGAAGATTTGAGAAACCACGCCCCACATCAGAAACTCATTTGAGTAAATCTAGAACATCTGACAAACTCGTTATGTCGAACAACTTTCTCTGTTGCAGCGCTACTAGTTCTGTGGTTCTGATAAAGACAGGTGCTTCTTTACATAATCTTGCCTGGAGCCACTTCATGTTATTCAGAATTCAACAGGAGATTTGGAGGTACTTTCTCTTTGTCTGTGCAGAATGAGGCCTCCTCACTCTCTCGGATCAGATCCAGGACCTGCGTGCCCTTCCTCTGTTGTAACTGTCTAATTAACTTGGCCGTTTCTGTACGAGCTGTCGATGAGAATCTCAGAATGTGCGCCACGTTTACGAGGCCAAGAGGCTGTCAGAGGGAGCTGGACTGTGTTTTCAACAGCGCGGCCAGAAACATGCAGCAAACGTCACGCTGCTGTAATGCTAATCTAACAGAAACGTGATAATTTCAATGTAAAAAGCTGCAAAATGTACATCCAAACACAAACACACTGGTTTAGTGTAAGCATGTGGCCATTATTATTACCCTGCAGATGTTTCCACTAAAATCCAGTCAACAGTCAGAAGCATTTATTATTAATAAGCGTCAACGCCGACCCCCATCCATGGCTCATATTACCAAACACCACTTTTAAAAATAATCAATAACTCACTGTGATGTTTTGGCTCAGATAATAACAATGTTTTACAGCAGTGGAAGCAGAAATATCACTGTGGGAAAAATACTCTTTTATATAGGGATACACACATACTGATACTGAATAAGCTTAGAGCAGCTGCTGTCAGCCTCAAAGTCCGCTGGAGCCTTTACAGTCACTAGAAGCACATTCACGTCGTTTGTAAAAGTTTCTGTGTGCTACTAGTTTGTAGCTGAGCTAAGAGGCTCAGAGAGGCTAACTCTCTGGGATGTATGTGTGTCTGTGGGGGGACTGTCAGTGTGGAATCAAGGTAAAGATTGCAGTCTGGAGCTAGCATAACCTCCTGTGAATGATGCATCTCAGTATACCTTTGAAAATGAGCACAGCAGTTTCACAGACTCCCACTCAGAGCGGAGGCTGGAGGAGGCTGGGGGAGGCTGGAGAAGGCTGGAGGAGGATGGGGGAGGTGGGCCGCCCTCCTATGATTGGAGGAAATTAATTTTTTTATAGAAATGTCTAAGACTGTCCACTCACAGCACTGGACCAAAAATGATTTACAACAACAGAAAAGTGAGGAACATCTGATGAAAATAATTTTAAGAACCTCGAGGCTGCAGCTTGAAGGCTTCATTACCTCAGCGTTAAAGTGATAATAAAAGCTGTGTATTTTCTTCAAGCTGAGCCTATAATTTGAAATCACAAGCATAAAATAGCATCTGCTTGTCTGTGTTAACTGAAAATAGAATAGACGAGTCGACGCCGGTGTAGAGTCTGGTTATATAATATTTCTGGTCTGGTTAATGCTGGCTTGAGGAGAGAGCAGGTCAAATACAGAGATGATTGAGCTTTATATGACCTCAGCAAACTCAAACTTCTGCTCACACACCAACAATCCACAGCTCAGGAACAGTTCAGTTCTTAATGCATTAATCAGTGACCAATGATCACCTGAAGGCAAATACCTGATTATTACAGCAAGGTAACATGATGCCTGAATGGACCATTAAACATCTGATGTGCATAATTGATTATGGGACACAAGGACACACTAAGACTGCGTGAAAAAGTGAGGTTGTCAATGCAGACAGCGTCAGTGTTGTGGTTGTCTGCCAGAAGCTGTCATACATTGACTGTTTATCCAGTCTGAAGCCACATTTCTACCATCCACTGTTTAGATCTTGGTGCTTTTTAACTCTA